GGTAGGCGACGATTGGTTGAAGAAACGTGGATCACATTTAAAGGTCAAGTCAGCATTGTACATTCAGAAATGGGAACAATTGGATGAAGATGATTAGAGACAAGTGTCAAATTGAGATCCACGAGAGAAGAGTGAGAGTAGAATGAATTGTGATTAGGCATAGATCATAATTATGAGGTGTTAGCTGTGTTGTGATTTGGGCGGTATATACTACTACACTTGTGCTGCATTGAAGCCTGACAGAGAGATAGAGACAATGTCAAGGTCTTACAGACAGATGACTATGGGTCAAATTACCTCATACTGCGTAAAGTCAACGGCCAACGGCTCCCCATCATCGTGCATGAATTTAATGGTCATCAGGCTTGAGCCACATACGGACGCTGATGTTGGAGTATGGCATCGCAGTGCATTCTAGTCTGAGACGGCGGTTGTTAGTTTAATAGTCTGCGGGTCAGGTCTCGGGATAATCCCGTCCGTGGGTCAGTGTGTGTCTTCAAACACCCTCTACTCCGTATTGTTCTTGTAATTGTCAAGATTGCGTCTTTCGTTATTAAAACTGAACGGTCAAGCATGTTCCCAGTTCGGAGAGACCGTTGAGATCTGACTGTAACTGCACAGTCCAACGGGGAGCAGAGTAACATTGGCGCAGGTGGAGGTGCTCAAAAAGTTAAGATTAACTTTTGGAAGCTTCTCATGTGAAAGTAACCCACCCTTACTTTCCTTTACTGCCTTTGTAGCTAAGGGCTATTAACTTTTGCAGTGAGACAGAGATGAGATAGAGATAGACTTGCAACGGAAACGCCCAGTTAGGAAATAAAACTTAAAAAATCTGGGCCAATGTCGAGAACAAGCCACAAGATGGAAAGGAAGGCAAGGGAAGGGAGGACATCTACCCAAGGACAAGGACTCTTTCCTTTTTGTGCCCAAAATTGTCTGTCTGTGTTCATGCCGTGTTCAGGTAGGAAAGAGCACCTATGCGTGAGGGAGGTGCGTCGGACATGAAACTCATTTCCACCTGACGCTGATGTTTCTGTATTTTACTTTTTCCTCTCAAACTTTTCTTCTTCCTTACATGACTTGACTTGACATTGCCGATATCCCCAGCCTCCTTATACATCCATCGGTCCCGCCGCCTCTTCGCACTTTTGCCTATTTCGAATATTCTTAACGTTTACCTACCTAACTCACCTGCCCGTTGGGTCCATGTTTGTTTTTTTCACTTTTACCAAGAGACTACCAAACTAAGGTTCACTCGGTCTTTGCGAAACGTACCGCGTCGTGCCGCGTCGATTTTCACCTAACCCCCGTGTGCTGTGCTGTGCTGTGCTGCGCTGTCTGTGGCGCGTGTGTCACTTCTAAACTCTCCTCTCCAGTCTCATCTTACAATTCGAATCTTCAATTCCTCAAATTGTGCCACATCAAAGTCGATCGAGGTGCATCTGGCAACTTTGCACAGAAGGCAAAGATCCATTTAAACGACGTCAATCTGGAACGACAAAAATAGCACCCATTATATCACTTGTTTGATCGACTTGGCCAGAGCAAGTTTTGTTTACCCTGTCAACAGACTCAACCACCTATCCAACTCAAGACAATTACATTCATACTACGACTAAACAATATAACTTAACGGATCTTGATTTCAGACTCCAACGGAACCTCGAGACTATCAAAAATCGTCCTTGCACCTGTCAGTCATCTCTCATCATTATCTTCAAACAAGCCTCCGATCAGACTAGACAGGCTCTGGAACCCTACCACCCTTGTCGATACTCTCCACGCTCAGTGGTGCACTGTTGATAGCGGTGCCTTTTGGAGTTCAGGGTCCCCTGGTCTAGCCTGGCCATCCATCTCACAGACCTGGCTTTGAACAGAGACCCCCGTCAGCAACCCACTGACCGTCTTGTCAGGACTAGAACTGTCTGCTACCTACCCGCTCTGCTCACCGCCTGCCCTAGTCATTCGCTGAACCTGGAGGCGCCTCGGCTTGTCCTTGCTTGCTGGCTGGTCACTCTCGCTCCCGTCCGTCTTCAACACCGCGCGCGAGTGGTTGGCCGTATAACTTCGTTCAAACGAGCCTGCCATCCTGTCGTTCGTTCTTCCGCCATGCTATTCGGTGCCGCTAATTCTGCGTTTGTTTCCTGCTGCTAGTCTCTCGTTCGTTTGTTATCGAGCTTTTCATTGTAGTCCCCGTGGCCTTGGTCCTCAATCGCAATCTCGCGTTTTACTCACCTGCTTCTTATTCGTCGTCATTGCACGTTGAAGAATCCGCAGTTGATCAACATCGGGGTTCTTGTCAGTTCATGCGTATGCGCCGTCACGTACAGTTCGACTCTCAACTCGGATTAGGCCAATTGGTTTCAGGAAGCTTCCTTGGTCGATACTGCGCCTTTTAAGCGTCATCTGTCACTCGTTCGTCTCCTGACGCTGGCGTTCTGCATCTTCAAATCTCATCTAATCACTGCAATCCGAGTCAAAATCACCAATACGCTTCGGACCCAATCACAGCTTGCCAGCTGTCTTGCGCGCCTTCAACTTGGCTCGCCGTCCCCGTAGAGTCGCCCCTCTACAGACCAAGTAATAGGCTCTGCTTTACGAATCCCAGTTTGCTCTGGCTACCTCTCATCCGGGCTGCATCGTGCGAGCTGCTGCAACGACCTGCGCGCACTTCGCGTCGTTCCCGCCGTGCGTTTTGCTGCAGCTGTGGAGCTCGTTAACGGTTAGTTCAGCCAACCTCCTTCTCTTTGCCTCCATATTCTCATATTTCCCTGCTTCTCTTTCGTCGCATGTCCTGCTGTCGTCTATGACGCTTGACACCCGTGCTTTGATTCATATGCGAGGCTGTTCCCTCCACCCTCGTCGCCCCTCCCCTCTGTCGCCCTAGTCGATATATCTAAACTAAAGCAAAGTCCCTAGTTTCAGTCGTGGACCCTTTTACGTCTAGCCCACCTACACCCAAGTTTCACCTTGAACGTACTGGCTGAGCTGCATGGCGTCCTCTGAAGTCGACCAGAAGTTTCTCGGCAAGCTTGCCAAAGCTGTCGAGAATGACAATCCTCTCTTGGCCAGCATGCTCTTCAAGATTCTAGGCTTGTCTCTCAACCTTGCCGAGCAGCTTGTTGCCGCAAAGAAGCAGCGCCGGCCTGACTATGAGCCATCACCTAACGCGATACGGCGCGTCTTGCGCATCATATGGCTCTCCCGAGAGGGCAAGGTAATGCTTGAACAATATGTCATACCAATGGTTGGCAATTATGTCGAACTCAAGGTCCTCGCCTACAAACTTCGTGCCTCTTTCTCGCATATTTTTGCTCTCTTTGGCAACACACCCTCGGTCTCGAACTTGGGAAGACAAACGCCAGATGTAACTGCTGTATTGACACCGCGCCTGGATAAGGGAAAGGGACGCGCTGCCGACATGGAAGTTGAATCCAGGCCCTCCTCTGTTCAACCAACTCACCCCCTAGAAGGAGGACCCGTGTTGCCTCCCCCGGGGTTTGAAGATCAGAACTTTACGTTATCGCCCAACTTTCTCATCCCGGCCAAGGACTACCTTCCTGAGGCAAAACAGCATTTTCAGGAGGCCATTCAGCTTGCCGACTCGATGCTCTGGGGCTCTCACTCTCTTCGCCTCTCGGTCAAAACTGAATATGCTGCCTTCTTATACGAATGTGTTCACGATGCTGAAGGAAGTCGGAAAGTCGCCAAGGACACTATCGCGGAAGTATACGAAGCCACGGAGGGAATGGACGATGACATGTTTAGTGATGCTTGCGAGCTGGTTACGGTCCTGGGCAAGATGATGAAACGTGGTCTCGGCACCAGTGGTACTCTACGTAAACCTCCAGCGGTGAACCAAAATCCCATACCAAGAGCCACTCCCCCTCCGGGAATGGAGAACCCCATCTGAAGAGGGCACGACCAGTTTCTCATAGTACCCAACACGGTCCAAAACACTGGTCACAACTCGAGAAAATTGTGGTGTCTCGACGAGCGACCCCGAAGCAATTTGAGCGACACCGACTGAGATGAGCAAAAACACGGCTTGGGTCTAAGTCACCTCACACTAAAGGGGCTCCAAATTTGATTCACGCTGAACGGCCCGTTCCGCAACACCACATCAAATCACATTCCTGTGGGCATCTCAGACATCGATACGAACAGCGCAATTTTGCATTAGGCCATGGCAGTACTAGCTTGCTGATGAAACAGCAAAGCCCGCCCATGGTGACTCTGGCACGAGGATCGGAACGCACATCACCTGGAGACAGGCGATGCTGAAATCTTCTGGTATTATACCTACCAACCGGCTGATTTACAATTGACTTCCCCCATCAGAGCCCAGCCTACACTGTCCTCAGCGCGCATTTGGTCTTATTTCACTTCTGTCCTGTTATTTGATACCCACAACTATTTGTATCTTTGTGTGCATTTGCATTGGGTTATTGCCCTGCCCTATTTATTTATCATCAGATATTGTACAAAATTTTAGCTTTTACGGGTTATGCTTTAGTTCTGCATGGAACCGAGTTACGAAAATAGAGAAAGGAGTTTGATGTTAAGCCCAGGTGTCGGTTGCATTTCTGGGCGCACGCAGTTAATAGATGATTTACCTACCCCCAAGGTAGCAAGCATGATACTTTTTTCTTAAAACAAATACCTGGGACATTTGCCCCCGGGCTTGATTATTTTTCTGTTCTCCTCTAATTCGCAGTGCTTCTATGATTGACCGAGTCTCAGATTTGTCCCCGTCTAAGTTACCAAAACGTAACTTGAGCCATCACGATGGTATCTATCGAATTAATCCTTTTACTCCCCGAACGCCAAGAAAAGCACAGCAATAACGAAACAAGACCTCGATCGTCTTGGCCAGGCATATTCGTCTCTATGTGTAGAGACTCGCAACAGTCGAGAGTCACTCTGTGATGAATTCCGTCAGAAAGACTCACGCAACGCACCTATCGTGACATGATGTTGGGTGATCCGAGTGAAGTGAATCACTCATCCGAGTCGTCGGAATCTTCAGTGTCGTCGGAGTCGGCCGACTTGTCACGTTCCTGCTTCGCAATCCAGTCCTCGACCTTGTTCAACCGCTTCTCAAGTTCGCGGGTCTTGGAGCGCTCCGTCTTCTCGGCCTCAGCGCGCTCGAATCTGGCCTTGAATGATACAAGAGGAACCATTTGCCCTGTGACGTTGTAGAAATTGGCCTGCATTTCGAGCCAGCGAGATCGCTTATACTTGCTGTCAATGGTAGCAAGGAGGGCGCAGTCTCGTTTGACCAAGTGGGCGTTGGGCTGCGGGTAGATATGAGGAGGGTACATGGCCCCGTAGACGTGTTCCTGCAGATGCTTCATCTCACCCTTTTGCCACTTGCTGTGGCAAGTGGACTTGGGAATCTTGTTGGTGTCATCACCAGAGTCTTCGTCGGCCTCGTCAGACTCGTCGGACTCTTCATCATCATCGTCGGACTCGTCATCATCGTCGTCCTCATCGTCCTCATCTTCCTCATCAGACTCTTCATCGTCATCAGAGTTCTCGTCGTCTGCATCGGAGTCTTCCTCGCCTTCAGCAGACTCTTCGTCGTCTCCGTCGTTTCCGTCGTCTTCGTCGGTTGTATCATCGACAGACACCTCCTCAGTGGCATTGTCGGTGTCAGTGTCCTTGATAGTGTCTTTGGCAAGCAACTGACTCTGGAGTATCTTCCAGCGAGCTCGGACATCGTCCTTTGTCTTGCAGAGAGATCCCGAAATGAAAGCCCAAGTCTCGCCGGCCTCCTTCATGCTGCGAAGGCGGCAGTCTTCTGAAAGAGACCACTTGGGGTCCTTAATGCAGGCGACGGATGAAAGGACTGACGTCTCACCAGCAGACGATTCGTCCTCTGACTCAGTTTGAACCGCCTTGTCTTTTCCCTTCGCCTTGGTAGTCATCTTGCTCTTGGAGACAGGGTTGGATCTGTCCGTGATGTTGCCCTCGGTGTCTGTGACAACGCCATTCTCTTCATCACTGGCAGTGGCAATTGTCACACGGCGGCCTCGAGCCTTGGGCTTGAGCTGAGAGGACGATGCTTGATTGACAGTCGCGGGTGGGGGCACAGAATGTCCTGGCAACTCCACGAAGCCGGGGACGGCAGTGTTGGGGTTATACCAGGGACCACTGAGCCCTTGGTACAAACGATCATAGTATTCTTGGTTCTGTCTGTATGCGGCCCAAGTGGGCGGCGGAATGGGAAACCTGTGCATGATTTGCTGGACGCCCTGATATCAGGGGTAGGACTGAATGTGAGTATGTCCGAATGGTGATGATGCTAACACTCTACCACGAATTAGAATTTGGCGCTCATCAGACCTATCTTGTTAAGTCTGCGCATACCTCAGGATGAGCAGCGAGAAGTGTAGAGCATCGAAGCTGAATAAAGAGGTAGAGTCTAAATGCCTTGAGCAAAGGACTGACTACGACTGCCCGTTTATGCTAGTACTGTCATCGAATGTTAGTGAGTATCATGTGCTTGCCAGTTCCGATCGACCTTGAACATACCTTGAGGCCAGAAGCGAAGTTGATATGTGCTGCAGAGCAGAATCAAGAGGTCGTGTGCTTGAGTGTTGCGAAACGACGGATCTACTACGACTCGATACTGTCACTACGAGTTAACTTGCTATGCTCATAAGTCTTGAACAAGTCTCTGCATACCTTGAATGAATAGTGAGTGGTGTGTTCACTTAGGGAGAAGAGGTAGGGAGCGTGTGTTGATCTGTTTTCGAGGGCGCAGAAGCAAAGGGTCTATCACAGCGCCCGTGTGATGTCGATACTATTACGAGAAGTGAATACCGATTCTCAACAGTCTCTGACAAGCCTGTGCATACCTCGATATGAGTAGCGAGCGAGGTATTGCCTCGCAAGGAAGAATCAAGAAAGAATGGTGATAGCAAAGGTTCCAGTACCGGACTGGGTGATGATAGCAAGGAAAAGAAAAACGACGAGAGGGAAGAAAGTAAGATACTATCTTCCCTTTGCAAGATATGTTCTTTGCAGATGCAGTATTGCTCTGAGGGAATGTTGAGGAAGAGGGAAACACTCAAGGTCTGTGATGAGGAGTAAGGGTAGAAGGGAAAAACAAGCACAGCCGCTTGCGAAATGCAAGATGAGAGACTTTCTAGGCTGTGCTCGAGGTGCAGAAACAATGTACAGTTGGCTTGCCACTGCCAGTGCTGCACTGCTCGATTAGTTTATTGCCCGTCTGACGCTTAGGGGGGCTTCCTTCACTGGGCACGGGACCACAGGCCGATATTAGAACGAGAAATGGCCTATATTCTCTATGCACTTGTTTCTATTGGATACCGGGAACACGGAGTGTACAATGGAAGGCCAGAATCTCCTTGTTTGTGCTGCTTTTTGCATCTGGGCTCGAACATTGTCACTGGCACATGGAACAATAACCCACTGCAGTTGTCCCACTGAACAACTGGAACCAACTAAGGTGCTATACGTATACACGCTGCATTGCCCTAGAGCAGCTGCTTAAATCGGCATGGAAAGTGAAAGCTTAACGTCAAACCGTCTATTGTTGTTCCCATATCATGATGTGACCGTGGTCCTCGGAGATAGTCCCACGGAGCACAGCACCCACGCACACTAGATCCAATGGGACATCTGCCAATGCTGCTGACTCATCTCACGACACCGTCCGAGACTTATCATCTTCATCACACACAGTTCAAAGTTATCCATACATTCTCGAATCTCACTCTTTTCTGTCCGCTAATCACTCAAAGTGTCCAGGACAGCATCCGAGTAGACAATTGGACAGTGTCAGACTATCCACAAAGGCCTCACAATGACCGAACATCTCCCTCCCCTCCCCGCCGAGTACGCCCGAGGCCTCGAGCTCATCGACGCTGCTCATGCCCAAGATTCAAGGACAGTCGAAGCCCCTGATGGAACCACGATCCCATTCGAGCTCAACTACGCTCAAAAGATGACCAAATGGCTCGCCCGCCGATGCCCCGACGCCAGCCCCGTTCTCCAGCTCGCCTGTCGAGCACAGCACTTTCGAAGGTAAGTGTCTGAAGCTCCTCCCGAGTCCCAATGCTTACAAACATGCACAGATGGGAGATCCCTCGAAGTAGCTACCCAATGACTCGTCCCGGCTACTTGACTTGGAGAGCAAAGCTCAAGGCCCAAGCCGCCACTCAAGTTGCCGAGCTCCTTGCCTCTCCAGAGATTCAACCCCCCATCCCCGAGGAGGACCGCGCCCGAGTGGCTGCCCTGATACGCAAGGAGAACCTTAAGGCGGACGAAGAGACACAGGTCCTTGAGGACACTGCATGCCTGGTCTTTCTCGACGATCAGTTTGACGACTTTGAGAAGAAGTCGGATCTGGACGAGGCAAAGATGATAGGCATCCTTCAGAAGACATGGGGCAAGATGGGAGAAAGGGGGCGGGAGCTGGCCCTCGAGATGAACCACAGCGACCGGGCCAAGGAGCTGATAGGAAAGGCACTTGCTGGCTAACCGAGTACAATACAGTAAAGTACACTACACTACACTACACACACTACAGTAGGCTTCGAACATGCACCTTGGCAGTTTACTCACTCGAGTTTGCCGAGACAAGACTTACGTACTAGCATATTTGGGACAGGCTGTACTGTTTCCAATTCGAGATGTGGCAGGCTTGCCAAGCACCCAAGGAGAACTTGCAGTACTGTATCTTTGGGAGAAGCCCAGTGAATTATGTCACGATCCTGCACGAACGAGATCAAGCACATGAGCGGCGTAGAGACTTGCCAAGATGCACTAGATCCACGACGCACGGTATCCGTACAATTCCTCGAGTATCATATCCCACCCTCCTTGCATTACGTTGATCCAAGGGGGAGCCGAGCCTCATATTGGTTCCATGGAGTGTAGTGTATTGTATTGTATTGTGAAGCGAAGATAGTTGAATCGATGACAGCAAGAACCCCTAAAATGCTGTCTCACAAAGTCCGACGAGATAAGGAGAAGGGCCAGTATTGTGCTGTGTTGTATGGATCGTCAGGATTGTGACGAGACTGAGCATGCAAGCCATGCAAGCCTTGCACTTGACATGTCCGTGATATTTCGGCCCCGGGACCCATTACCGATCCGAGACATTGCGACGGCAGCAGATCATTTCAACAGGGGCAGCAGATCTTGGTAAGAAACGGGTGTTTGTGTCACCCCAAGAGCTACCCCTGTTGTGGCGTTTGCTGCGACGGAAGCCAAGGAACCGTCATGTTTGCCAGCCACCTTTTGATTCATGGTTTCGTTTCGTTTCTTTTCCTAGCTTGTTAGACACGACTCGATAGGAGGATCCCTGCGGCTAGCCGTCATCCGTCATCCGTCACCCGCCAGCCCTACGGCTGTGCATCTGTCTCCTCTGACCATCAATCATTTCGTGGCTCGTGTGACATGACATTTGATCTATCAGTTCGACTTATGCTTTCGACCGGTAGCACAAGAGATCCGGTGTGTCCTCGATCACGCACAAACATGATCCTCCCTTTCTTTCATCATGTTCCCAGCCTACTGGAACCTTCATGCGCCCCATGTTTTCTCTTCTCTCTTTCGTGTTTCGTGTCTCGCTAACCGACCTGGGCGCGGAACACCCACCATCCGTAGGCAGGGCAAGTCTTTGTGGAAGACAATTGACAGTTGAGGCTCTCGGCTTCTTACATGATTGCTCCGAGATAAAACATATTTGATCAACAAGGCCATATTCTCTGCAATCTGCAATGATGTCAGGTGCAGGAGCTTGCTGCATTGAGAGGAGAATTGTCCAACTCCAAGTACCCTCTTGATATGTATGTATGATTGGTTCCACTCAAAACTGCAGTATGTGTGTAGGAGAGTGGCGCATAATTTTGCCCTTGACGTAAAGCTGCACGTTCACCCATCAAGTCTTTACACTATGATATGGCTTGATCTAACGCTTCGTTGGATTCCCTAAATGACTTTTGTCCATCAAGACACTGAACTCACGCCGCTCCAGCTGTCACATCATCGTACCCTCCAGGGCAAGGCAAGGGAGGCTGTCAAACCCTTGGGTCGGTAGTTTGACAAAATATATCCGATTGCCACTCCGAATTAGGCATGTCGTCTTAATGGCTCGCCCGAGAGTTGCAATGTGCTGTAACCCTACAGCTTTTCAGCCGATTCCAAACACAAACCGTTCAATCAATCGTTATCAGGACAATTGTAGTGGTTTTGTGGACCATCATGCGTGGCCCAAACAGCCTCAATATATATGATATGATAGCGTTTAACCCGTGAACAGCGGTTTTAAAGTTATATCGCTTACACAAGTGCAGTCGTACTACCCTCGCCGGACCGACTTGATCTGATGGCCACATGTACATGTCTTGGGGTTTCTGGACCACGACAGACTTGACATTGCTTTCGGGACCCAAGATCGAAACAGTGTTGTAAAGGTCACAGCTGAAAACTGTGTCACCCATTCTCCACCCTGTTGATAGGGGTTGCTCGAAGGAATGGTAACCGAGCCGCCAGAGCAGAGTTGCAGATCTAATCTTGAACTCTCTGAGACTGTTGGGTGCTGCCAATTTCAATCACTTTGAATACCTGGAACTGCCAGGGTTTGATAACCAATCAGAACAGTTGGAGGCACACATCGCTTGCATACTCCTCAGCTTTAACCGGGCGGCCAAGCTCTGCACTCAGGGTCGTTCCCCTAGGTTGGAAATTCCTGGGAGGTCCAGAACCTGCACCCATCTGCTTTCAGTCCGTTGCTGGGACTGAGCTGGGAAAAGTTGAGCGATCATGTAGTAGAGCTGCTGTATCAAAAGGAGTTGTCTTGGAATCGCTATCATTAGTGGCTCCCTCACAGGTCGGCCATCAGGAATACATACACTCGACTAATGCCAAGTGAAGCATGTAGCCTGACCCTCATGAGTACTGAAGCTGTAGTTGAGGGAGCTGAGCCAGACCCACAAACAATCCTTTCTCAGGCCGTAGTGATTGGGAAGTATGTGATGGGTCTGTTGCCCGCCAGTCCGCATATCGTCTAATGATATCGTGATCCTAGGAGCCATAACAGCGTTGCACTTTGTGGGTTGATTGTTCGTTCCTCTGTATCGTTACAATGCAAGGTCCGGCACGAGTCATGCCGAGTAAGAGTGTCGGCATCCATTGCGTGCCATCTGTGGGGTTCTCTAAGTCATCCCATGGACTGGGCCCTGGTCTTCTTTGAAAGGTGCCATCG